TGTCTCTCCCCTGTGACCATCCAACAAGCCACCTCTGACAGAAAACAAACATAGAATTCCAAGTGACCAATTGTCAAACTGTTTGCCCATTAACAGTGAACTTCTGTAGTGACATAACTTACGTAAGAATGATGCAACACCACTCCCCACTGCCAAATAAACAAATTTCAATGATACCTGAAGATGTGACAGGAAATTACGACTGGTTAAGCTTGTTTCTAGTTTGACATTTCCACCAACTGCAAGACAAAGTACAAGGGTTTTGCTAACTATATATTAATAATTCAGACACTGAGCAAAAGGGATATAATCATATAATACAGATGGACTTAAGAATCTTTATGCCATGAAAGTTACTATACTACCCAAGATCTAATTTCCGGTTTCATAGTTTCCACCTCTTCACTCTCAAATTTTAAAATGAAGATGCATTAAAGACCTTGTTTGTATTAACGTGTAATAGGAATCAATAAGCACATGTTGCCAATATAGACCTTGGAAACTACATCGACTATATGATTGTTTGTATTTTCTCCAAAAGAATCAACCATTTCCCCTAAAAGCGCAGCCATAAGAGGCAAGGAGGCCCCATTTCCAATAGCTCCAATGCTACCAATGATCATCAATACAACATCCTTGGAGTCTGCAAAAGAGAAGAGCTTGTAATAGGGAACGGTGTTAGTGGCCTCATCTCTTCCTTTGCTCTTTTCCAAATCATGGTGGCTATTGGTCTTTCCTTGGCCTGTTTTTTCATCTGTCTCTGTTACAGGTGAATGGCTCGTTGATGCAGTGGCCTGGTTGGAGTTTATATTACCATTCAGGCTGTTTTTCTCTTCCATGTTTCCAGCTTCTAAGATTTTCTATGCTATTATTTGTCACAAAAGTTGATCCACTTTGAGTTAAAAGCAGAGCTGCAAGACAAAAAGAAGCAATGAAGTGAATGACCCTTTCTTGTTGAAATGTAAATAATTGAAAAAGAAAAGGCAATGTTTCGTCAAAGCTATTCATTCTCCATTTGGATTTAACTGATTATTTTCCTATTTACTTATATCAACATCAATACTACTGAAAGCAGAAGAATAAGGAAATGAAAAAAAAAAAAAAGAAGAAAACGAAAAAGAAAAAGATACCTGTTTCTACTCGGACTCCAGTAAACTGATTATCACTTTTAAAGTAAAACATAAAATCGGGCAATCAGGAACAGGAGATAAAATCACAAAATTTATAACCCACATAAACAGAACAAGGAAAATTATTTGAATATCAAAAGTTTCATTAACTGCGACGCAAATCAAAGAGAATAAAAAGAAAAACGATTGAACCAAGGATCTTTTCAACACAAATAAAGTAGTTGCTGAGACGCATATTGAAAAACAAATATATATAATAAGAAAAATGGCTATTGAGAAAGACCAAAAAGATTGAACACTTATGCTGAATTTGGCATTACTCGTTTTAAGGACTTATCTCCTTTTTTCAGTTAAAATGCTCCCATGAACACTGAGTCTTTAACAGCAAAAAGAAGATAAGTCCTTAAAATAAGGAATGCCAAATGCAGCCATAATATTTTCAGATTAGAAATGAATTCCTGCAACTTCGACCAAAGCAAAGTAAGAAAAGATGATAACCCATGAGTAAAACATAAAGAAAGAAAATTAGTGAAAGAGATACATTAGAAACTACCTGAGTTTGACAATCCAGAACAAGAAATGTACTCACCTGAAGATCAAAAGGGTTCAGAGGATGTTGTGCACTACCCAAATCCGCAAGTGTAACTCTACAAGCATTGTTAGTCAAAGGATCAGTTCCTAGCATAAGGCAATTCTTGTTGATTTTTTATTTCATTATCGATTTTTCCCTCTCTAATTGTTTACTTGGTTACGAAGTTTCAGAAGATTTCAAGTAAGCAAAAGCGGTGGAAACTGTGGAATAGCATCGTTCATGACCAATGGTGGATTGGTGGCAGAACCTTCTGAACAATGACCATATTTTCAATGAGATTGTGATTATGCCAAACAGGTCTGCCTGGCATTAGAACCGAAGCACTTACCTGGTGACACAGCTCCGATTGGTTGAAGAGTTCTATCAGAGAATGCCAATTTTGGCCTTGATGATACTGAGCCAGAGCCTGATCTATGGCAGCTGCCTGTTTGATTTCACTTCAAACAAGTACCCTTTTTTTATAAGTACTTAATAATAAAAGCGTTGAGAGCACACATTAAGTGGAAAATAATCATTCCTTCCTGGTGATTTTAATTCCCATTTTCATTCTTTTCTGAGTCAAACAGATTATGAAAATAGACTATTCTGATTCTAATTTCAGAAGACTTTGATTTTAATTCCGACTGTAAACCAAACGGACCCTTATATATCCACAATCAATGAATTTATATTCACAGCACAAATACATTAATGCACAATCCACCAGCCCACGAGAAAAATGATCCAATAATATTGTAATTCACATCCCAACCGTGTATTGGGATCATCTCCCAATGGCAATACACGGTTCGAATGTCCATGAGGCGCCATTGTAATTCACATTCCTATGAGGCGCCCTCTATCGGGCCATCCACTCTTTGTCCCAAATTACCACGTGAAGTGCGCAAATTGAATCCGGATGACAACAAAATACCTTCCTGACACCTTATCTACAATGGATCTCACTTTTTTATGGTGACGTCATTTGCCTTGGATGTCTTGTCCACAACGATCCTATCCACCGGATATTACAATTGTATAATAATAGAGAGAACTAGGGGAGGGGCCCTACTTCGTCGGGGCTGAAATGAAACAAGCGATCCGTTGACATGTTGACTTGTTTTTTGGTCAAAAATTATTGAATTGGTTAATGATTTATTGACCCGAGCGGTTGATTCATCAACCCATTGACTCGTAAAATGATTTTTGGCCGTTTTTTATTTTTTAATTGGGAACCATCTAGGCAACCGGATTCATTTTATCTTAATCTTGGTCCCTGGCCAAAAATCGTTGAATTAGTCAACGACCCATTGACTTGGGCGGTCAACCCATTAACCCATTTAATGGTTTTTGGTCTTTTTTTTATTTTTAAAATTTTTGTTGTCAAAACGGGCCATTTGTTGGAAACGAACAGTCAAACCGTTGAACCGAAAACAAATGGCCAAAATGATTCCGTTTTCAGGTCATATGAGTCACACGCTCGAATGACATAACACGTATGGTACTGCTTAATGGACCTCACACACTCAATTATTTGCCTGCAATTTTTATTGTCAGAATGGGTTGTTTGTTTTTTTATTTTTTAATTGGAAACTGTCCAGGCAACCAGTTCCATTTTACCCCAATCCTGGTCCCTAGCCAAAAACCATTGAATCGGTCAACAACTCATTGACCGAAGTGGTCAAACAATCAACCATTTGACCCGTTCAATGGTTTTTAGCCATTTTTTTTATTTTTTTAATTTTTGTTGTCAGAACAGGTCATTCGTTCAAACTGGATAGTTGAATCGTCAACCCGAAAAACAGTGGCCAAAACGGTTCCATTTTCGGGTCGTATGAGCCACATGCTCGAATGACATAACATCATGGTTTTTAAAACCAACCCGGAGATTGAACCGGTCTAGGGTCCAGTTACCGGTTCGAACAGTTCGATATCTCGTTATTAACAATATTTACAATAACTATTATATATTTATATAATTAGATAATTATATATATCTAATTATTTAACAATATTTATATAATTAATAGGAAATGGGTTGCTCTCACATGGGAATCTACTTGCATGAGTAGATTCCATTTACCTAGGCGATCGAACCATTGACCCGTTTCAAGGGTTTTTGGTTGTTTTTTATCTTTTTTAATTTTTGTTGTCAGAACGGGTCATCCGTTCAAACCGAACAATCAAACCGTCGAACCGAAAACCAGTGTATAGAACGATTCTATTTTCAGGCCATATGAGTCACACACTCGAATGACATAACGCATATGGTACTGCTTAATGGACCTCACACACTCAATTTTTTGCTTGTAAATTTTGTTGTTAGAGCGGGTCGTCTGTTTTTTTACTTTTTTTTAATTGGGAACTGTCCAGGCAATCAGTTCCATTTTACCCCAATCCCAGTCCTTGGCCAAAAACCGTTGAATCGGTCAATGACCCATTGACCCAAGTGGTCGAACTATCAACCCGTTGACCCATTCAATGGTTTTTGGCCTTTTTTATTTTTATTTTTAATTTTTGTTGTCAGAACAGGCCGCCCGTTCAAACTGGATGGCCGAATTGTTGACCCGAAAATCGGTGGCCATAACGGTTCCATTTTTGGGTCGTATGACTCACATGCTCGAATGACATAACATCATGGTTTTTAAAACCGACCCAGAGACCGAACCGGTTTGGGGTCCGATTACCAGTTCAAACGGTTCGATATCTAGTTATTATCAATATTTTTAATAACTATTATATATTTATATAATTAGATAATTATATATATATATCTAATTATCTAACAATATTTTTATAATTAATAGGAAATGGGTTACTCTCACGTGCAAATTTACTCGTATGAGTGGATTCCATTTACCCAGGTGGTCGAACCATTAACCTGTTCAATGGTTCTTGGTCATTTTTTATTTTTTAATTTTGTTGTCAAAACGGGCCATCCATTCGAACCGTCGAATCAAAAATCGGTGGCCAAAACGATTCTGCTTTTAGACCGTATGAGTCACATGCTCGAATTACATAACACGTATGGTACTGTTTAATGGACCTCACTCACTCAATCATTTTGCTTTTAATTTTTGTTGTTAGAAATTGGCCATCCGTTTTTTATTTTTTTTAATTGGGAACCGTCCAAGCAACCAGTTTTGTTTTACTCCAATCCCAGTCCCTGGCCAAAAACCGTTGAATCGGTCAATGACCCATTGACCCAAGTGGTTGAACCATCAACCCATTGACCTGTTCAATGATTTTCTAGTCATTTTTTATTTTTTTTAATTTTTGTTGTTAGAATGGGCCGTTTGTTTTTACCAGACGGTCGAACTGTCGACCCAAAAACTAGTGCCCAGAACGGTTCCATTTTCGGGTCATATGAGTCACACGCTCAAATGACATAACATCATCATTTTTAAAACTGATCCAGAGACGAACCAGTTAGGGGTCTGATTACCGGGTCGAATGGTTCGATAGCTCGAACCAAACAGTCAGCCCGTTTTGACAAAAAAATAAAAAACGGTTCGAACGGTTCGACATGTAGTTATTAACAATATTTATAATAACTATTATATATTTATATAGTTAGATAATTATATAAACAATATTTATAATTATATATAATAACTATTGTTCGAATGACCGGACCATTCTGACAAAAAATTAAAAAAAATGATCAAAACCATTCGAAATCTAGTAACAATATTTATAATAACTATTATAAACTTATATAATTATATATATATATATATATAATTACTATTATATGTTATATATTTGTATAATTAGATAATTATATATTTATATAATTAATAGGAAATGGGTTGCTCTCACATGGGAATCTACTCACACGAGTAGATTCCATTTCCTGCATGGAGAGAGCACCCCAATCCTATATATATATATATATATGATTCATGTCATGTTGGTAGGGTGTCATGGGACATATTGGATACATATTGCACTAGTACTGCTGCAATTGGAATATCGCCTCTTCGTAAGTGCTATAGGAGCAAAAAAATTTCTCTGCTAGACCTATGCACTTGGGCATTACACTCTGCCCACGTGAAATAGATTCCTGGTCGACGACCTTTGAACACAACGTAATATTTTGCCATATGAGTACCTATAAAGATGTAAATATATATCTCATCAAACCTGCAAATATACCATCCATCAATCCATCAAGTTAAAAGATGTTTGGTTTCATCAAACACTTGCTAATTAACCTGTAACCCATATCATACATTCACAATCAAGTACCACCATAGGAAGAGAAAAAACACAATCATAAATTGTAGTGGATTAAATCCAATGCATCTAAACTTATAACTAAACCTACAATTATATCATCCATCAATCAATCAAGTTGCAAGATGTTTGGTTTCACCAAACACTTGCTATTAACCTTTGACCCATATCATACATTCACAATCAATCCATAAAGTTGAAATTATATCATCCATCAATCCATCAGGTTGCAAGATGTTTGGTTTCACCAAACACTTGTTAATTAACATGTGACTCATATCATACATTGACAATCAATCCATCAAGTTGCAAGATGTTTGGTTTCACCAAATACTTGCTAATGAACCTATGACCCATATCATACATTCACAATCAAGCACCACCATAGGAGGAGAAAAATCACAGTCACAAATTGTAGTGGATTAAATCCAATGCATATAAAACATGTAACTAAACCTGCAAATATATCATCCATCAAGTTGCAAGATGTTTGGTTTCACCAGACACTTGCTAATGAACTTGTGACTCATATCATACATTCACCAAACTTGTGAATAATAAGTCGCAAAAAAGTTTATATAGTATCTCAATCATTATGTATATGTTTATATAGTATCTCAAAGCAAATATCCAATGCATCACAGAAAAAAGTCAGTAACAAAATGGTGCAATGGATATCTAATTAGTTCAAGTGTCTATCAATGTCTAATGATAAGTCAACATCCAATCTAGTATTCGGATGCAAGATTCATATTTAGCCATGCTTTCCTCAATTGAGGCCTGAGGGCATAAAATGCTATTGCCCTATTCTCTGATTGAGATAAGAAGTCTATCGCCTTAATGAGGAAATCCGGGTTGTCATCCCTGAGGCTGTATACATCCTCAAACAGACTGCTATTGTAAACCCCATGTATTTTATCATCAACATGGAGCATTATTTTTGGTTCCACAACTTGCTGAACAATTAAAGCATTCAACTAATTCGAATCTTACATATATATATATATATATGTATGTATGTATTAAAGCGAAAGGGGTGCTTTTCCCTTCCCCTTTCGCTATTTGGAATCTTATTGTTCTAGTACTGTAGTTTTCTTTGGAT